TTGTGTTGTGAGCATTTGCAGCGCATTTCTGTTTTTGCAGCCCGTTTCTTTATTTGTTTGTGTTGTGAGCATTTGCAGCGCATTTCTGTTTTTGCAGCCCGTTTCTTTATTTGTTTGTGTTGTGAGCATTTGCAGCGCATTTCTGTTTTTGCAGTCCGTTTCTTTATTCGTTTGTGTTGTGAGCATTTGCAGCGCGTTTCTTTATTTGGTTGTGTTGTGAGCATTTGCAGCGCATTTCTGTTTTTGCAACGCAAGCGCGTTTCTTTATTTGTTTGTGTTGTGAGCATTTGCTTGGCGTGTGTTGTCAAATTGATGAAGATGTTTTCTTAATTTGCAGGTGTTTTTTCTATTTGCATGTGTTTTTTTTTTCATTAGCAGCGCATTGAGCTCTCTCGGCCACCGTAAATTTATCCAAAACACGACTATGTAAAAACAGTAAAGCTGTCAAGAATGTATAGTTTTCAGACATTGCTAAACCAAACAGTAAATTATTTAGTGGTTAGAAGGTCAACTGTGAAACATTAATAATGAGGATGTGCTGAGAAGACTGGAATAGAATAACAAATAAAAACATAATATAATAAATATAATGTTAACATCAAGGTCAAAATAAGAATTATCACTTTCTGTCTTTCTTCTAACTGTTTCCATCAATATTGTTGTAAAAAGTCCATAAATTAAAAAAGTTGGAGGGATATACTTGTTAATTTATTTAGTAGTGTGAATGAGGAATTAAAATACACCGTAAAAGATTGTGATTGTATCACTGTGTGTACCTAGTCCTGTAAAAAAAATTAATAATAGAACAATCTTTGGTTCAGAGAAAACACTGGACCTCATGACCCCCATAAGATGACCACATGTACCATTAAAGATCGCCACCAAGCTTAACAGCTGGCAGCAGGCATTGTGGGTTGATGAAATTCTTTGACTTTCTCACACATTAAATAGTCTTTGGCAATGGACACAAACGCTTTCAGAATGGCAAACTGCATGACGTACAGCACAAGGTTTTGCTGAAACTGGGTGACAGAGATGCTGATGCAGTTTTGCTCCTTTTGAAGTTGTACCAGTTCACCCAAAATGAAAATTCTGTCATCATTTATTCACCTTCATGTCACGACTTTCCTTCATCCATGAAAGGAGAACTCTAGAACTACTGCACTAGCAAGTCCCATTCCTTTTCTGCACGGGGAAATAGATTTTTAAGGACAACTTAAACTAAAACTGAGACAGGATCTACTATAAGCTCGGATTTTGTTAATCAATGGTATATGCTTTTGTTGAAGCCATCAGCCATCATTATTTTAACTTGCGTCCGGATTTCAACATACTTCCGGAACTAAAGCCGCTGTAGCACTCTATAGCTGGGATATATACTAATTATCAAGCTAATGTGACTCACATTTGTATTTTATTTTGTGGAAGTATATAACATTTTCATAGCTGCATAAAATTTGTTTAGTGTGTTGAAATACAAATGTGTGGTCTTACTTTTTGGAGCTCTTGTATGCCGGTCTCAGCATCGATCAACTGCACCAGCTCCTCCTGCATCTGCATCGCCCATTTCCGGGTCCTGTAAACACAAAGAACCAATCAGATTTAGTTATCAATTACTGATCTCACTCATCTTAAAGAACACTTGAAGTACTTCTTCGATACTAGAGCAAAAACTTCTAGCCTAACTAATAAAGTTCAAACAAGTGAACAGTTAGTAATGAAATAAAGAACAAATGCACAAATTACAAACATAGATACATACAACAGAACAAAGTTACAAATAAAATAGTAGCATTCAGGTATAGAAATGTAACAATTAACTGTATAATAATTTTTTTTAACTGTGTTTTGTTTTTTTGTTCACATAAATGACACAGACAGCAGCAGGTATTTATAGGCTGCTGTCACTTTAAGACTAAATGCATGGATCCAATACAATAATTCACATCCAATTTCTTTCTGTTTACATGTACTTCACTTAAGACATACACACATAATTTTGTGTGTATTTATCGGTTCAAGCGTAAGAAAAATACAGTGGCGGAGCCAGAGAGGGGTCTAGGGTGGCACTAGACACTCCTGACATGTTATCACAATGTCAATCATTGCAATTTTGAGAGTGAATCGCATATTTATATGTGGGTGGCTTTGCACCATGTGGCTGCTGGTCCTCTTAGCATCATGAAAAACAAAACTTTTATTCAAATTCTGAATGGATTATATATAGCCTAGAAAGCACGCGAAGAGTGCTCCTTTTATAATCACTAAAAATCTGTCATATTAATTCATAGCTTTTACCATACCTTCTGATCACACTGCAAAAATTGATGTTCTTCATTAGCATTTTTGTCTTGTTTTCCAGCGCAAATGTCTAAATCTTAAATCAAGATACATTTACTTGAGAAGCAAAATGACCTAAGTCTTGTTTTCTGTGAAACTGATCCAAATTAAGGAGTTTAATGAAGGTTTATGATTCAAAAAAGAGCAAATATCTGCCAATGGGCTCAGAAAATCTACTGAATTCAAAGAGAAAATAAGCTTTCATTCCCCACATAAACTCTTCAATTTTATTACATGTCTCAGAAAACAAGACTTTTTTCAAAAATTTTTCATCTCGAACAACCGTATCTTGATTCAATGTTATTTGTATTGGAAAACAAGACAAAAATACCGAGGAAAACATTCATTTTTTGCAGTGCATGCAACATTTAATGCCATGACTTTATGAATTTAAGACCTTCTTTTCCTTCTTTTCTGATTTAATACCTTTATACCATTTTAATTTGTGACACAAGTCATATTAAAGGTGTAGCATTTTATTTAGATTATATGGCTTATGTGGCATGCTATATGGATTTGGAACATCATGATGGTGAACAAATGACAAAACTTTAATTTTAGGCTGACCAACAATATCATTAAAGGATGTCATTCTTAATTTGTTATAACATGAAGGGGGATGCATATAAAATCAATGATTATACATTTTTTAACCCCGCCCATAGTCTCAGATTAGCCCAGCACTGCTGACCAGCCACCTGCTGTTTTAAATACTCAACATAAATCTAAAACTGTTGAGCAGACAACATGCATTGCGCCTCCATCTAAGGGCACTATATAGCACTATAGAAGCCCGTTAAAGCAAAGCAGAACGAGTGTGGGGCAGAGGGAGAGGGAGAGGTGTAAAGGGTGGGATATGGGTGTCATGTAAGTGAATCCGTACCGAGGTCCTTATCCTGTCACCACCACTATGAATCTTATCAGTGTGACTCAAAGCCATGGCTGCAGAGCGCGTTGAATGTATGCAAGACGTCCTGCAGCATAAAACACAAACCACCGCACACAAAACAAGGTGCTGCTGAAAATTCCCTCTTGCTGGAGGGTGATGAATTTGGCCGGTTTTAGTGGGAACATTTTCTTTAAAAAAAAACAATGTAATCTGAGAAGAAGAACCACGTGAGGAAAGGCAGTATATTTAGCCATGAGGGCCAACCACCAAAGGCCTAAGGCAAGACTAGTATGAGCATATTGATGCCATAGGAATGTATCAAACAATAGCACTGCATGGATATGTGTCACTCACACAATCTTAAACTTAAATGCAGGTAAACTTTATATAGACCACCACTCTCGTTACTGAATGTGTGCTTGTTATCTCCAAAAAAAAGTACCATCTATAGGCTTATGATTAAATGCTTGATATAAGTTTTACATGAATAATAAATATTAACTTAAATATAATCTAAAGCAGATTGAATGACAGAAAGACCTTATGCAGTGGTGGAGCATTTGACATCTGATTGGCCACCCCGAGTGCCACCCCAACATTTCATTCGCTACTGGCAGTTCAATGACTGACACTTATTTGACCTCTCTTGAGAAATAAAGTATTTGTTTTGTCGTGTTTTCCATTTAAAACATTATATTTGTTTCACATCATTTTTACCGTATATATTGACTTCACCCTAGGCTGGAAGAGTCTTTTTCTGGACTGAATAAAGTCTATGTTTCATATAAAGAGATAATAAAAATACTAAATTATGGGCAATAAAAATTGCCCATACTCTTTCAGTTTGTGTTGCTTTTACAGTAAAACTCATCAACGCCCTTTTTTTCATTCTTGAAGTGAACCTGGTGATTAGATTTGGAGATTAGATTTTAGAATGTGAGGAGAATAAGAGAATATGATGGTGCGGTGCTTGTTATCCAGTGTGCATCACAGCCTTTCTGAAGTAAGTGGTTTACTATTAAATTTAGATTATTATGACTATGTCAACCATTGCAATTCCGAGAGTTAAATTCAAATTCTGAATGGATTACATATAACCTAGAAAGAATGTAAAGAGCGCTCCCTTTATAATAAAAAAAATCTGTCAATCATTTTAGTTCTGTCATGACAACTCTTGGAAAGATTAGCATGGTAATATATATGGCAATGTTAATGTATTTGGTCTTGGCGGAACAGTTCTGCCACGCTGCTGCAGCTGCGAAAAACTCCCAATGCATCCACATTCTGTTGTGAGCATGTAATGTATACCGCTGCTGCACATATAATATAGCAGATCTATACAGGTGTAGCTGGGGAAGGTGGAGGGTTTCTGAAAGCATGCTGCAAACTGCTACAGCGAACACTGGTCAAGTATTTGAATGTTAAGCAGCAAGCTCATTGGCTGTTCATGTGATGAACCAATCAGCTGTGCGGTGTAGATAACAATGTGATTACTAGCAGACCTATCAGCCTGTCATTTAGAGTTAAAGTTTCTCACATAGTTCCATTATAATCAAGCACTCTACACTACACAATGAATCTCTTATATCGTGTCAACACTTTACTGAAATGAAAACTAAGCTTTGAACAAAAACTTTGGTGTTTTGAATGGTCAGTGGATTCTGACTTAAACACTTCTGACTGGCCATTGCGTTCAAGAAATCAACATGTCTGTGATTGGCTACATTGCTCAATGCTGCAAAAACACACTGTATATAGAAACCTGACTTTCTCCAGAATGCAAATATGTGTTGGCCAGATCTGTTTTGCTGATAGCTCTTATTACAGGTTCAGCTGAGGGTGAAATAAATATGTCAATTAAATGATTAGCCTACTTATATATGCATTTTAAAGTTTGAATAACAAATAATAAATGATAAATAAAAACAGAAATCTAATAATTTTCAGCTATATAATTATCCATAATATCTTCAGAAAAAAAAAAAACAGTAGAAGTATTTTGATAGTATGTGCTATCTGATTGAAACTCTATATTGCTCATAGCTAACAACTTGACAATGAAATCTGCATCTGTAACAGCAGCTAAATTTTCTTCTGCCCAGAGGAAAAAAAATAAATAAAATTTATGCACACAACAAAAAAAACAGCTCAAACCCTAACAAGCCTTATGCCAAATCAATTCCTCTCTCTGATCCCTTCTGGTGAGATGAATCATCAAAACTAATTATTGTTATGGATCACAGGTGCCAGAATGTAGCTCATTCAACAGCGTATGGAGACGGGAAAGGCTGCCAGCCCCTTTTGGTTTAGCTGATGAAATTCGATTGAAACTCTCTTCATGAGATTACAACAGCAGTATAATCACAACCACCACAGTAGCCATAAAAACAGAGCACATACATGCTAAGTATAGCGCTACGGGTTGGGGGAAAATGGATGTGGTGAAAAAAAGAGGGACGGAAACTTGGAGCAGTGAATGGAAAATTGAGATAGGATCCCGTTCGGTCCCTCCCCCCTCCAAGTCTTCTGGAAAGGGAAGCTGGGGGCAGGGGCGACCCAGCGAGCTGTAAAACATTACGTACTGTAAATAGTTTATTAAACGTTTTGACTCATTTAAGACGTCAGACTTAATTTCCTTGTCAAATTGCATACTCACAATCAGCACAATACATGGCAACAATCCGTTTCTGTGAACTCTGCGCGTGAACTCTATTTACTTTAGTAGAGGAAAGAGAAAGTGAAAATAACTGTGCAAACCAATATAAAAACCATTATGCTGCTTAATATTTTTGTATTAACAGTGATACTTTTTTTCCTTTGATGAATAGTAAATTCTAAAGAATTCACATTTCAAACTTCTGAACGGTATACAAATATAAAATCATTTTATATATGATGGATGAGAGAAATAAAGTGGCTGAAACTGCTAACATATAAGGATTAAGACTGTACCATACAAAACACAAGCTCTCTCTCTCTTGCCCTCTTTCTCTATTTTAACTATACTCCCTGAGGAAGTGAGTGCTGTTTCTATGTTCAGAGCCACATTAGACCTACATGTCTCCAATATCTTGGAAATATATGACTTTATATGACTATAACTTCAATATTTAGAGCACTAAATGGTAACAACTCATTGTAAAAATAGTTTTTACAGTTCTGACCTTTACAGAATGTTGCAACTGTAAACTGTGAACCAATTTAGAGTCTGTAAAAATAGTTTAGCAAAGACAGGAAAGAATGAGCATTGCTCCATTTTATGCCACAATGTCATCACAGAATGTTGCAACTGTAAACTGTGAACCAATTTAGAGTCTGTAAAAATAGTTTAGCAAAGACAGGAAAGA